AGAGGGGGGGTCGTTGCACAAGGTGCGCGACGATCGGGCCCTGAAAGCCAAAGCAAGGGCGGCGATTAGTGCTCGAGCGGTAATGGGAGGCGACCGTAGCCATCTCCATCTCCGATGCGCCTAGCCAAGCCGTCGCTGATCGTCGAACGTGCATGTTGTGTTATTTACTCGCGGACGCGGCGTCCGACGGGTAACGGAACTCTAATTGCGCGCGCTCGCGTTCCCGCTCCGCGCTTGCGGTCTTGGTGCTGTGCTTGTGCCTGTGCGCGTGTGTAGTGCCCCGCTTGAGAGCCCCGAGCCGGCTCTCTGTGCCATGCAGGATTTTCCCGGCGAGCCCTTTTGGATTATTTTCAGGATTGCCATAGGCAGGTTTGTCCCGTACTCATCTTATACTCAGGGTTGACACAGTCACGGAACACCAGGCAGTGTCAGGGAATTTTTTATAAGTCGGGGAAAAACTGGGAATGTCAGGCTAAATGACGAAAGTGTCAGGGAAAGACAGTTAAGCCAGTAAGCCACCCTCATTTGAATCAGTGAGAACGAAAACATGAAAATAATCAAGACACACACTAAACTGCACAGTAAGGGAAGGAGTTAGTCAAAGGAAAAGATTTTTGGTGTCGAAACACAAGTAGTGAAGGACACTTTAAAGGTCCAAATTGGAAATGATGCGCTATCAATGACCTTCATGAAAACTGACTGCCTTTAATAGAACTCAAGTATCTTCAAGATACCGAGTTGGTGTGTTTTCGTTCTCACTGATTCATTTGCTCTCTAGTGGAGGTGTAACGTTTTGAACAACAAATTTTTGCCTGAAAACGATTCAGAATTATGTCCATGCTATACTCAGGGTTGCCACAGTCAGAGAATACCGGGAAATTTCAGGGAAAAACAGTTAAGCCACCCGTAGGATGGCTGTTTTAGCCTGAACAAATTTTTGTCTGAAAAAATTTTAGAATTATGACTTTTTAAGCATCTGGCAGATCTTCAACCATATGGAAGTTTTACCAAAACGTGTCAGAGAAGTCAGGGAAAATCAGTTTTTAAATTCTGTGGCAATCCTGTATACTTTGTTTAGTTGCAGTTCACTGCATCCACCGAGACAAACTAAGTTTTTTTGTCACATAGGGGACTGGGACTGGACCCGAATTTCGTTGGCTACGGTCGGCCCTCGGTTGCTAAACCTAACCCCTGAATTCGATTTTAAGTCGAGAAAATTACATTCTAAACCTAAGGTTCTCTCTCCATGTTCATTCTAAACTGAGGTTGAGCTAGAGTACCTATACAGGGAAACTAGAGAGCACGAACATGTCAGTAATTTTGAGGTTAGATAATGGAGCTCTTATGGCCCAAAAAGGTAGCCAATATACGAATTCAAATTATCCACAGTGATACTTTGTCACAATCGAATCATCAGGAGTATTTGGATCACAATGTCAAACATTATCTGTTCCGAAAGTAGTGTAATTAAAAATGAAATCCCTTTTAAAATGAGTTCTCGGATCTTTAGTTAATTAATGTAACTGACAGGCAACCAGAACTTTTTTCGGGATTGGTCCGTGGGCTCGCCGCCCAAACTCTCCCCCTCCCCCCCTCTCATCGGCTACTTACCTATTGCGTCTCCATAAAACCCACTTTCCTAGATCTTCTTATTCCTGCGAAGCGCTTATCAAAATCTAAACAAAATATTTTAGAAGAGTGGCGAAGGAAGCGCGGAGATGAGTCTCAATCTTTCATTTAATCACATCGGAGTAAATATAAGAACATCGCACACCTTCGCACGGTGGATCGAGTCAATTACAGGGGTCGGACATGAGATTTGCGAATACCTGCAAACTTTGATGCTTTTTTTCTCTTTTTTTACTTTCTTTTTTTTCTATGTTGTTTTAGGCTTTATATCCGGGGGATACTGCGGCCTTGGAAGGGATCAAAAAATTGGAAAGAAATGTTGAATATTGATGTTTATTTCGTCACATTTTAAATTTCAAGAGGTGCACTGGAAAAAAAAACCCATTGGATCTAGAGTCCAGACTCTTGAAAACATTGGCAAGAAAAAGGACTCTTGATTCAAGCAGATTTAAGCTTAAATCAAGAACCAAGCCTTTTAATTTGAGCGGATTTCCTTTCGATTTAAGCTTAAATCTGCTTGAATCAAGAGTCCTTTTTCATGTCAATGTTTTCAAGAGTCTGGACTCTAGATCCAATGTGTTTTTTTCCCAGTGTGCTTTCAGAAGAAAATTTTACGATGAAACCACTCTTAGAGCCTCAAATTTTTGTATAAAGGGAGTTATAAGCGTTTAAAGTTTCCAAATTCTGTCCGACCTCTCCCATTGACTCGGTCCACCGTACCTTGCACGTAGTTACACGCCGTTTCGCAACTCTTATTTACGGCTGAAGGTTCATGTGCAGCAGAAAACACGCTTTGACCTTTTTCACGTGAGTTTCGATTTCCACCTCTGGGACGAGTGACAGTGACAAGCGGACGGTGGGCACTCGGCCGTCATGTCTTATGACGCCATGACGTCACGGCGGTCGTTGGTCGATTGCAAATGAATGTTGTCGAACGGCGAGCGACGACCCCTGGACGCGACGCAAATTGCACGCCCCGCCCGTGAGATAACGCTGCCATTGCCCCGCTTAAACGAATGGATGCAATTTAATTAACGCTTATCGGGCCCCCGAGCCTTAGCTTATGCAACGTGCCGATCACTTGTGCATTACTTTCTCCCTTGGGATTGCCCGATCCCCGATACCCGCACCTTGTCCGCGGCCACGGTCCATGTGTGCTGTCTGCGTGGGCCAAGCCACGCTTTTCAGCGCTCGAGCTCCTCTCTGCCGTCCTAAGGAAGAACGACGTATGAAGCCTCAGGCGTTGCCAAACTTCCTTCGATAAAACACGCACTAGAGAAAAAACTTATTGAATCTAGAGTTCAGACTCTTGAAAGCATCGACAAGAAAAAGGACTCTCGATTCAATCAGATTTAAGCTTATATCAAAAGGAAATCCGCTCAAATTAAGAGGCTTGGTTCTTGATTCAAGTTTAAATCTGATTGAATCAAGAGTATTTTTTCTTGTCGATGTTTTTAAGAGTCTGGACTCTAGATCCAATGTGTTTTTTTTCCAGTGCAAATTTCCTGGTAAACTTATGAATATTTCCCTTCCATGTTTTCAGATAATATTGTTCGCAATTTCACCTAAAGTCCCTGAAAATTTTAAGGATAAATATTCATATCTTCCCTCAAAAATGAACATTTTATTGAAGAAAATTTGGCAACTCTCGAATGTTCATAAGGCGTTCTTCCTTAGCACGGCAGTTTTGCTGGAGTCCACGGAGTCGGGGAAATCTAGAGTCCCTTTATACTATGAGAGGAAAGAAGCAGTACGAATCCATTTCCGATTGGTTCCCGTTTTTTAGGCCTCCTCAGTGTCACAAACGGGAATAAAAATTACATGTTCACCGATTGCAAGGATTATAAACTGGAATGGACCTGGGAACAGGGGGAACGGCAAGGAACAAACGGAATGAGAGAAGGAACGGAGCTAGGGATTCGGGAATGAGTTAATCAAAGATTACGGAAAACGTTCAATTTGTGTAATCTTTATTCCCGTTTGTGACATTCATGAGCCGCGCTGTCTTAACTCTCTCTACAAAGGGACTCCAGGGGAATCTAAGTTGCAGTTCAGAGACAGATTGCTCATAGAAACACTCCACTTCACGAAAAAAAAAGTATAACAATACCAATTTTGCTCCTAGCTGATTTTGGTGCCAGATATAAGAGTAGGTGCACCAGACAGAGGTACGGTTGAGTCTGCTGAAAGTATGGTTGGATCAATCATACCTCTGTCTGGTGCAACCTCTCTCATATTTCGCGCCAAGATCAGCCAGGAGTATATTTGGGATTGTCATACTTTTTTGCAGTGAGGACTCAAAGAATGGTTAAATACTTTTTCTTTCGGAGATTTAACTTTCGATAACAAGATCGAAACGAACGATCGATAACAAGAGTCATCCTAACTTCTTGCTCGTTGAACTCCGGGTTGAGCAGTACATACAATAAGTTTACTTCATATAGGCATGCGTGTTAGGGGCTTATACATATGGAACGCCTTAGGGGGAAGGAGGTTGAAGCAAAGCGTCGTGTCATTTTGCTTTTACTTGATTAAAGAGCGAGACTTACGTCACGAAAGCGTACGAGGTGGGAAAAAAAATTAATATCTTAAGGCAGAAAATATCGCATATTGGCCCGGTCTTATCAATCCAACTGCACTTCCGAGTTGTTTTTGTTTTTTTTCTTTCGAGGAGAACAGCGTGCAGTAAATCAATACCAGGATCATGGTAGGTTTTTAATCAGGGATTCTTCCTGCTCTTGTATTTTATCGAATAGACCGGAAGCACTTAAAGATATTGAGTGTCAAAAAGTGATGCAACACTAAGGTCAGGTCCTCTAAGTCACTATCTAGCTCTATGAAAATTAGTGGACAAAAACAACCTAGTGTCAAGAGGAAGAGTGAGGAATGAACCTACATTGTAAAAGAACCTATCTGCCTGGACTTTGCTGTCGAATGTATTTTCCCGAACTCGATCAAATGCCCTGCGGCTTGACCGCGTAATAAAATGCAAGAAATGACTTCAAGCCCGCAATAAAACCAACGTAACGGTGCGATAAACCCGCTGATTTAATATTCAAGTTTTGGAAAGTAAGACGTCACGCCGGAGGACATTCAGCGTGTAGGACGAGTACTCGACATGTTCCTGACAAGGAGACTCAATAAATACATATATATCGGGCCATCATCTTGTTCTTGTTCTTTTACTTCCTACTTATCGTATAATTGGTGCGTTTGGGCATGGGCATCCTCTTTTTCGATACGGAACATGTATGGCCCTTGCGGCAGCGATTCGCACGACTTGTCTCAGGTTTTTGCCCTCAACCGCTTGTTTGGGATGCCTGATCGATGATGCAGTCACTTTTACTTTTAAACAGGCCCCAAGAGACAAGACACTCTTAGGAGAGAGCAAAAAACGATGACCGAAATTATGACGCAAGGGACGCGGCTTTCATTTTGGTGTTCCGCATTGGGAATATGCTAATACCACTACTAACAAGGGTACATGCTAATAAGGGTTTGATTAAGATGACGCTATTATTGTTGGTTCCCGCATTTTGGAGAGCAGCCTTCTAAGAAAGCCGTACGAAATTATTGTTTGTTTTATTTTTCACTTTTATCTAATAATCGTTTTCCACTTTGTCTGCTAAAGTATTGTGGGTCCGAAAAATGTTACTTTCATACATACATTAAGTCGCTTTCACAGCGCCGCCTCGCGCTCTGCGACGCCCAATCGCCATTGCCCCCTATCCTCCCAGAGA